TGGCCTAGAGCAGGGGGTGGGCAAATTCCGGCCCTCCCGCTGCGGGTGAAACTACAAATTCTCTCACGCATCTGCCTCTGGGAGCCATGCCTGTGGCTGTGACAATCTAACAATGGCTCATGGGACTTGTAGTTCCACAACAGCTGGAGTGTCGGAGTTTGCCCCACCCCTGGTTTGGGTGGGGCTCAAATACAACTGCATTACTCACCTGATCCTCGCTACTATGGCGGTCAGCACTCCACCTCTCCCCCACTCTGCTCCAGCTTTGGAATGTCCCCCTCGGCATCCTCCCCTCTAACACAAGTCAATCGACCTGCATTTGACGTAATGACACCAATGGCCCTTGGCCCCCCGGGAAAGAAGAGCCTGCGGGGATCAGTCTAGCAGTCAGGCGGGACCGAGGATCAGAGTGTATCTACTTTATTTACCCCCCCCCCCCCAACCGAGCACGTGACCCTTGCAGTGCCGGGGTAGCGCCCTACTATGAGGGTACGTTATAAATTCCTGGGGTCCTTTTTAAACCCTTGCAGTGCTGGGGTAGCCCCACTGTAAGGGCATTATATATATATACCAATAGATGAACTTTAAGCAGCCTAATTGCCCCATTAGAACAGAGAAAGTTAAAAAAAATTGATTATCCCTTTCATTGCTGCCCCTTCCCCTTTAATTGCTGTCCCTTCCCCCTTCATTGCTGTCCCCTCCCCTTTCATTGCTGCCCCTTCCCCATTCACTGCTGTCCCTTCCCCTTGTATTGCTGTCCCTTCCCCTTTCATTGCTGCCCCTTCCCCTTTAAATGCTGTCCCTTCCCCTTTAATTGCTGTCCCTTCCCCTTTAATTGCTGTCCCTTCCCCTTTAATTGCTGCCCCCTCCCCTTTCATTGCTGTCCCTTCCCCTTTAATTGCTGTCCCTTCCTTTTTAATTGCTGCCCCCTCCCCTTTCATTGGTGCCCCTTCCCCTTCCATTGCTGCCCCTTCCTTTTTAATTGCTGCCCCCTCCCCTTTCATTGCTGTCCCTTCCTTTTTAATTGCTGCCCCCTCCCCTTTCATTGCTGTCCCTTCCTTTTTAATTGCTGCCCCCTCCCCTTTCATTGCTGTCCCTTCCTTTTTAATTGCTGCCCCCTCCCCTTTCATTGGTGCCCCTTCCCCTTCCATTGCTGCCCCTTTTACTTTCAATGCTGCCCCTTCCCCTTTCATAACTGCCCCTTCCCCTTTCATTGCTGCCCTAAGCACATTGGCACTATATACCTCATCAGATCTGGATATTGAATACAATCTGTGTAGACTTTAGTCTTTTAAGCATCATCCTCTTATAATCCAGTTCAGTGAGAAAATCACACTAAGGATATCAACCCAATAAATATATATTTTTTAGCATTATTATTATATTTATAAAAACAAACAAAAATAACAATGATACAGAAGAAAAATAACATATTATATGTATATTTT